TCACTACGACAGATCGGCTCAGCGTCCGCATCACTGCAGACGCTGAACCAGTTCACCTGTCGATCTCCCGATCCCTCCTACCCTCACTCGTGAACAAGACCCCGAGATACTTAAACTCCTCCACTTGAGGTGAGGTGAGAAATGTGAAATATGATGCATTAAACTGCCAAAATGCCTACAGCACTATTAGACACTCATTTATACAATTAATCAGCAAACAGTTGAGTTAGGTGTTAGTTGCTCTTTAAGGAGCAATCAGCAATCATCAGAACATCAGCTTTCATGCAACTAAAACAGTTAGGTGGGTGGGTGGCTGTCCAGACAGCAGGTGGGTGAGGTCTTAACTATGTCCTCCAGAGTTTGAGCATTAATCACACTGAAAGCTGGCGTTCTAGCCAGACTCTTGCTGTGTGGCTGTAGCTGTGGTCTAGTGGTGCTGGTTGACATGGAGGAATGAATGGCCAATCTGATGTTTATGAAAACTCATTATTACACTCAGTTTGAGAAAAGAAACCAGGAGTTATCTGTGTTGAGAGATCTGTCTTGTAAAGGCGGGTCCTTCTCGTCCAGGTCTCTCTAGTCGGAACAAGTCTGCCTCGAACTGCTGCCGAATACAAAACTAGATAAAGCACCTGTAGATAGCTGCAGCTCAGCCTCCAATGTATTTTATAAATATTAAAATGATGAATTTATTTTCATCATCAGTAATAGTTCTGTGATAAATCTTCAGATTGAATCGAAACCTTTAGTTAAGTTTCTACTGAATCTCCATGACTCATGTCATTAGCAGTTACAGCGTGGACACGCCCACAGGTTCTATGGAGGAGGAAGCCCTAATGACGACATGCCCACAACATTTATGAATGAACTGCCTTCTGACGACACAAGGAAACCGGTGCATAAAGGAAAATATTATCACTAGTGCATGTGAGCATGCTGGAAAGGGAAGATTCCTGTCAGCTGATCCCGTTATAAAAGACAAAGAAGCAGAAGTGAAAATCAGACAGTTTCCATGGAAACAGTGATTTAACTGCCAGAAAACGTCTCTACAGAACTAAAAAAAATGGAAATAATCAGTTAAAATGGGATTTAAGAGAGATTAGTAGTAGATTTTATTTAATCTGAAATATTTAATTAAAAATAAATTACTTTCTTATTCATCTTCCATTGTGAATGTTGACCTTTGATCCAGCTGACCTTAAAGTATTACTTTAGTATTACTCATAATGTGTGAACCCGTGTGGTTAATATGAGCATGGGGAGTGCCCGCCCACTGGTGACAACGCCAGTGATGTCACACATTTCTGGGTATACAAAAGGGATGAATTAAAGCATCACTCCTGGACCTCCCAGAGAAACACCACTGTGTATCTGATTGTTTCCTTTATAAAGTAGCGTCATCGTTATTCTCCTGTCGTTCCTGTCTCAGAACTTCCCAACCGGAGCCAGGTTTCCGATTCGGCTTTTTTTTTTTTGGTGATCTCTTATTTTAGTTAGCAGACATTTGATTTCTGACCTTTGTGACTGCAGACCTCCATCATGGCCTGTGCTGCATTGGTGCTTGCTCTGCTCTTCATTGGGAGTGTTTCTGGACTACCTCCTCTACCTCCTCTACCTATGAAAGGTGAGTGTGTTGCACAGTTTGCTCATTTTAGCCAAGATGAGCAATGTTGTTGCTGAAAGGTGTGACAGGATATTGCTGCATTAGCCCTCACCAGCCTCTTCTCACTGATTTTCAACACCTGATGACACCAAGGAGTCAATTTCCCTTTAAAAAAATAACTATTTTGCCTAAATGACATTATTTCAGGAGTGAGTGTTGTACTGCTGCAGTGTTAATCCTTTGAACTTTGTTTTTACAACAGATGGCTGTTACCAGGTATCTCCGGAGGTGGATGTCTTCAGGGTTGAGGGCGAGGCTGTAATCCTCTACTTTCCAATGTTCATGAGAGTACTTAAAGTACGCAAAATCATCCCACCGACGGCAAAGTACGTCATCAGCAGGTCCAACGGGACAGAGAGAGTGGCATACAAGAGCGAGGGGCGTGTCCAGCAGCACGATAAACAGCTGTGGTTCCTCCCGGCTCAGGCCTCAGACTCAGGAGAATACACCTGCACATACAGGTAGTCCACAGCATTCATCTGAATACACGAAACACTCGCTGTATGCCGGAGTTTTAACCCAAGAACATTTTACCATGAACCATCACGGACTTAGAATTGTAATTCCTTAACACAAGGAAACCGGTGCATATAGGAAAATATTTATCACTAGTGTATGGGAGCGCGGTAAGGGATGGTTCCTGTCAGCTGATCGCGTTATAATCAGCTAAGTTTCCTTAACAAGGCTTGTCTGGCTCATCTGAGCTCAGCCCAGTGTGTTCCATTTTCTATCTTATGTCTTTGAGCGCACGCACGTGTGTGTGTGTGTGTGTGTGTGTGTGTGTGTGTGTGTGTGGTGTGTGTGTGTGTGTGTGTGTGTGTGTGTGTGTGTGTGTGTGTGTGTGTGTGTGTGTGTGTGTGTGGTGTGTGTGTGTGTGTGTGTGTGTGTGTGTGTGTGTGTGTGTCAGACAATGAGTGTAATGGGGATATTATTGTCATTGTGCTTTTATATTTGTGGGGAGGGAGGGAATGTGGGTATGTGGGGTCATTTTAATTTGTAAAGCACTTTGCATTTATTGTATGAATTGTGCTGTATAAATAAAGTTTGATTTGATCTGATTTGACTCTGGTGTGAGAGTTGAATCCCGCAGGGTGAACCACGTGGCCTGACCTTAGCTAAACAGAAGAAAACAGATAGATTAATGGATGCATAATCAGGAGATTAGGGATAAAGGGGTATCTAAAACCCTTCTATTGTTAGTGAAAAGTTTAGTTTGCTTAAATGAAGGTTTAGGTTTCGAAGCCCTTTGATCAAATGCAACATAATCTTTCTAACTTTGATTCATTAATTTCCTCTGCAGAAATGACACCTACTGTGTGACTGGGAGCATCACGTTACACGTGTTTGAGTCCGATTCGGTCAGCATAGAGAAACTGTCCTACCCATGGCCAGCCACAGAGGGGGAGAACGTGGAGTTCACCTGTCCATCCCTGAGCCGCTTCAACAAGACCGACTGGCTGATAGAGTGGTACAAGGTGGGTGGGAGAAACGTTTCCCCGTTTCCTTTTGTTTTAAACAAGAACTAACAGCATCGTCCTCTGGGACAGGACTCCAGCTCCTCTCCTCTTGAGCCCAGGACAGGAACGCTGACGATCCCTGCTGTGAGGAAATCCCACTCAGGCGTCTACACCTGCAGACTCACGGTGCTCATCAACAAGCAGCCGTACAAAGTCAGCAGAGCCTTTACGCTCCATGTGCAAGGTTGGTTCAGCTTAAAGCAGCAGACGTACACACCTCGCCGAGGTTAGAGTTGTAACTGAAGGGAGTTAACGTAGACCAAACTTTCGACTGAATCAGGAGATACCCCCTCCTGTTGGATGAACACACAAAACAATGACTCAATATTGAAGATCTTAGTTTAGAAGTACTTTTTTGTCTTCAATCAGCCTAAAAGAGCACACGTCACCCCTCTGTTCATTGAGCTCCACTGGCTACCGCTAGCAGCACGCATCAAATTCAAATTGCTAACACTAGCATAAAAAGTCCGAGATGGTACGGCTCCCATCTACCTGAATCCTCTTGCAAAGGCTTACGTCTCGGCCCGGCCGCTCCGGTCATCACAGGATCGTCGGCTAGCAGTGCCTACACCACGCTCAGGACAATCCAGACTCTTCTCATGCATCGTTCCACAAATGTGGAATGACCTTCCAAGCACTACCAGAACAGGGGCTTCCTTTTCAATTTTCAAGAAACTCCTGAAGACCCTGCTCTTCAGAGAGCATCTTCTAAACTAGCACCCTCCCTGCACCCGTCCCCCCTCTACTGTCCACTCCTTGTTCCCTCCTCTCCATGATTGATGTCAAGTTGTTGTTGTTAGCCTCAAGGGCAAAATGCCAATTATCACTTGTAAGTCGCTTTGGACAAAAGCGTCTGCTAAATACATAAACATAAACATAAACATAAACTTTTTTTATCTGCCAGGGTCAAACCCTGCTATTACCACCACTGTGCCTAAGGTCTCCACATCAGCTCCAGATTCTCACAGCACTCCTAATGGTGAGTTATTTTCCTTAATGATTGAAGAGACTGCAGAAGTGTTGGTTCTAATGTAATGTTTTCATTTATGTCCTGTTTGTGATAGTTGGGCCACCTGTGATTGTCTCACCAGTCAATGGAACCATTTTTGAGAGTCCACACGGTGCGTTTGTTACGACATGCCAGGTGTCACGCAGTCAAAGGATTCAGAACAGAAATGTTGATTTTTAAATACTGTATGCAGGCTCAGGACTGGAATTGCACTGTCAGGTTGTCATTGGATGTGAAGAGGCAGATTCAACGGTGGTCTCTTGGCTAATAAACGGCCAATCGGTGGAGTCATCCTACCTGGACAAGAGGGCTCTGCAGGGAGGGAGAAGGTACGGGTTGATTTGTGGTTGATGCATGTTTTGGTATTCAGATGTCCTCATCAGAAATCAGTACTGAAAAACAGAGAGATGATTATCGTGGCTGTAGTCTTTTCACACCATCAACGGAGTCCTAGGTCATTTTTAATCACCCACACCTACCTCCTGCATTAGCTTCTGATAGAAAATAGATGGTAAAACTGTAGGATTTGAAAAGCATGACAGATCTACGTTGCACTGTCCCTCAACAGTCATGGACTCGGCCATCTTGATTCATGACGGGGAAGGCTGTTGTTGGTTTAGCGTCCAGGAAACAGCAGAGAACGTCCCGGCAAACTCCTTCAGGCCTTTGAAGGCAGGCAGGTCTTTGAGGAGATGCAAAGCAGAGTCAGTGGTAGAGTCGCGTTGCTATTAGCCAATCAAAGGAGAGATGCCCCAAGTCAGGAAACGAGACTCCAAATCCTACCAGCGGAATCGACTTTCTCCTCCAGTTGACTTTTACTTCCTGAAACAGATGAAAATGAGCTTCATTCCCCAGAGTATGACTTACAAGGTATTTGTTCCTTCTAGAAACCACTGCACCTGCACTGATTGCACGAGTGATCCACTTCTCTAAAGAGATCCCACAAATTAAAGGTCTTACAGCTTTAACATTAGCTGAATCTTTTCATATGTTGTTTAACCTCATTTTCAAACATAGAGAATAATGCTTTTTTATTAGTATATCAACATTCATGAATATGCCATTTAGCTACATAAAATAACAGCTTAATGATATAAAAATGATGTTTTTCCCATGCAGTGTTCAAAGTTAACCCTCAGGTTATTAGTCTGCCAGGTGCATAAGCAAAACTAATTGTTTTGGTTTTCTACAATTTGAAGTTCAGGAAGAGAGTCAAACTGTGTTTATTTACTTATCAGAGGTCAGGTTGACCTTTTGACTTCAATACAAACAGCAGAAGATCTAAAGAAATGTGTAGAGTTTCTCGCTCGGGCCACATATGGAGAAATGACTGAATTTGATGAATGGTAAAAATCATGAATTTGACTACTTTTCTCCAAAATGAAACCCTAATATCACAGAAAGCGTGATTATTTGTTGCAGATGTTACAGGATAAAAAACTATGATTTGAATGGAAGTCAATGGGACATTTTTGTCTGCTAAATTCAATCTGTTGCTAAGCAAAAAATATTTAATGCTAAATTATTTTTTGAGACATTTCATAACATGACCAAGAGTGATTTATAATAAATGCCCCAGGAAGAAAAAGTGTTTTTTTTTTTTTTGGAAATAACAGATTTTTTCTTTTAATCAAACTGGCATTTGAAGGGTTACAAGACTCAAAATGATGGAAATTTTTATACGTTTGAGCAAAATCTATGACTGATCTTACTTCTTTCACTTTATTGGTTAACATCATCGAACTTATGTGGCGCTTTTTAGGACACTCAAAGACACGTTCACACACTCTCACATTCACACACTGCCAGTGATGGTAAGCTACTTTGTAGCCACAGCCATCCTGGGGTGGTCTGACAGGGGCGAGTCTGCCATTTGGCGCCGTCGGCCCCTCTAACTACCACCAACACAGACAAGTTGGGTGAAGTGTCTTGCCCAAGGACACAACAGCAGAATACCTCTGGCGGGAGCTGGAATCGAACCCATGACCCTCCGATCATGAGGCAACCCGCTCTACCACCTGAGCTACTGCTGCTCCTTGTATCTTGTTGAGGTTTCTTCCTGTTAAAAGGGAGTTTTCCTCTCCACTGTCGCTAAATGCTTGCTTAGTATGAGGATTGCTGTAAAGTCACTGACACTAGTCCGTGACTTGATGCAATTTGCTGGGTTCCTTATATAGGAAACCTTTTTCTGATTGGCTTAATGAACTGACTTGAATTGGAATGTTTATTATGTGAAGTGCCTTGAGACGACTCTTGTCGTGATATGGCGCTATATAAATAAAATTGAATTGAAATGAACTTGCATTTAATATTTTAAAGTTTTGTATTTTCAGAAATAAACAACCACTTTTTTTCTTCACTGATTTCTGATTACTAATTTCTCATTACTAAAACGTACATTTACTAACAACTCGAGTGTGAACTCTCTTTAATCATTCATTACTGGTTGGTTCTGACTGATGATGTCCATCTGTTTCCAGGGTAACCAGGTTGACTACAGCCTGCCAGGTTGAGATGAGACTCATCATCTCTTTAGTTACAGAGGAAGATGAGAAGACAGAGATGAAGTGCATCACTCAAAGCACAGGAGGGAGACAAGAAATTGTTACGATGCTTCAACTAGAAGGTGTGTCATCTCTCATAAACTGTCAAAATAAAAGCATGGCTGAAATTCCACTAATATTTAATTTATGAAACAGTAACTGGTTTTGTGCTTTTCTTACCAGTACGAGTGAATCAAACACCCGATTTACATTGTTACAATGTATTTTACAGATTCCAGCTCTACATGGCTAATTGTTGCCATGGTGACCACATCCTGCTTCCTGACTGTGGTCTCTATCTTCCTCTATGCCCTCTTCAAACCTAAAAGGAAAAACAAGATGGATTACTTCCTTGCTCGTCAGAACAGCACCTTCTCGGTCTAGCTTTTTATTTTACACACTCCTTAAAACAAAAGAGCTACTTTAAAGTGACATTGTGTAGTTTTCCTGGCGATAGGGGGCAGTAGATACCTAAACCTTTGCAAGCAAGCAGTACTTTTGTGCTGAAGTAAGACATTTACCAATATATATGTTATATGTTATATATATTTTTCAACAACTGGGCATCATTTTATTTATTTTCAACAACATTTTGATGGATATTTCCAGAAATTTATGGCAAAAACTACACATTGTCACTTTAAGGCATTTCACTTCATTTGACTGAAATTCATGTCTAGTAGTTTATCCCCCTTTTTTGTTGATGCATTAAAAAACTTTATGGATGTAACAAATGTTGTTAATGGTAAATAAAATTAAAACATCATTGCACCTTGTCATTGTTCTATTTCCCCACTAAGCTGTTTAAATTCAGCAGTTTTTACTTGATCTCAGGTAAACATAAGAATAATATCTGTAGATTTTCATGTAAAACGGGTGAACGTGTGTGTGAATGAGTGGATGACTGCTTGTATTGTAGAACCCTATGAAGGCACTAAACAAACATAAGCCATTCATCATTAAACATTTTAAAGGCAAACATGTTGCTGTCCCAAAAATACTCTAACAGATCAATTAGTCATCCATCCATCCATTCTATCCGGGGTCGGGTCGAAGGGGCAGCAGCCTAAGCAGGCAGGCCCAGACTTCCTTCTCCACAGCCACTTTGGTCAGCTCCAGGAGATATCACAAGGCATTCCAGCTGAGAACCATTATCCCAGCAGGGTGTCCAGGGTTCTCCTTTGGGTCTCCTCCCGGAAAACCTCACCAGGAAGGCGTCCAGTAGGCGTCCTAACTAGAGGCCCGAGCCACCTCAAATGTTTGTTTATGTATTTAGCAGACACTTTTGTCCAAAGCGACTTACAAGTGATAATCGTCATGTTGCCCTTGAGGCTAACAACAACAATAACAACAACAACTTGACATCAATCATGGAGAGGAGGGAACAAGGAGTGGACAGTAGAGAGGGGGGACGGGTGCAGGGAAGGTGCTAGTTTAGAAGATGCTCTCTGAAGAGCAGGGTCTTCAGGAGTTTCTTGAAAATTGAAAAGGAAGCCCCTGTTCTGGTAGTGCTTGGTAGATCATTCCACATTTGTGGAAGGATGCATGAGAAGAGCCTGGATTGTCCTGAGCGTGGTGTAGGCACTGCTAGCCAACGATCGTGTGATGGCCGGAGCGGCCGGGCCGGGACATAAGCCTTTGCAAGAGGATTCAGGTAGATGGGAACCGCACCATCTCGGACTTTGTATGCTAGTGTTAGCAATTTGAATTTGATGCATGCTGCTAGTGGTAGCCAGTGGAGCTCAATGAACAGAGAGGTGACGTGTGCTCTTTTTGGCTGATTGAAGACCAGACGTGCCGCTGCGTTCTCGACGATTTGAAGAGGTCTCACAGTACAGCCTGGAAGACCAGTTAGAAGGGCATTGCAGTAATCGAGGTGGGAGATGACAGTAGATTGCACCAGGAGCTGGGTGGCATGTTGTATTAGGTATGGTCTGATCTTTTGTATGTTATACAGCGCAAAGCAGCATGACTGAGCAACAGAGGCAACATGATCTTTAAAGGTCAGGTGTTCATCAATCACAACACCCAGATTTCAAACTGCCTTTGAAGGAGCCAGAGATAGGAAGCCATTTTGGATTGAGATATTGTGCTGTATGGATGGTTTTGCTGGGGTGACAAGTAGTTCAGTTTTAGAGAGGTTGAGTTGGAGATGGTGGGATTTCATCCATTTTGATATGTCAGAGAGACAGTTTGATATTCGTGCAGAGACAGTGTGGTCGTCCGGTGGAAATGACAGATAGAGCTGGGTGTCGTCTGCATAGCAGTGGTAGGAGAAGCCATGTGATTGACTGATCTCACCCAGTGAGGCGGTGTATGTGGCAAAGAGAAGAGTTCCCAGTACAGAGCCCTGGGGGACTCCTGTGGCAAGATGGTGCACAGTAGAGGATTGTCCAAGCCAAAATACACTGAATAATCATCCTGTGAGGTACAATTCAAACCAGGTTTGTGCCTTCGCTGTGATGCCCACGCTAGAGAGCGTAGACAAAAGGAAGCCATGGTTGACAGTGTCAAATGCAGCCGATAAGTCGAGCAGGATGAGCACTGAGGATTTGGCAGTCTTACTAGCTTCTTTTAAGGATTCCATCACTGCTAACAGAGCAGTTTCAGTGGAGTGGCCCTTTTTGAACCCAGATTGGTAAGGGTCAAGCAGACAGTTTTGTGAGAAGTAGTCTGTGATCTGCTTGAAAGCCACCTTTTCAATGATTTTGGACAGAAAAGGGAGGAGAGAGCTAGGTCGGTAGTTCTCCACATGATTTGGAGGAAGAGATGTTTTATTTATTCTTTTTTTTTTTGCTGCGGTTCAACCTGAGCATGCTTGAGAGAGGTGGGAAATGTGGCGGATGTCAGTGAAGCGTTGATCACATGTGTGACTGCTGCGGCTACTGTAGGATCAATAGCTTGGAGCAGCTTAGTCGGAATGGGGTCGAGTGGGCATGTAGTAGGGCGGGTGCACGTGAAAAGCTTGGACACACAGTTCTCAGTGAGAGGGGAAAAAGAGGAAAATAAAGCAGTAGGGCTTGAGGTGGTTGGGCTAGAAGGAGTTTGTGGTAGCAAATGTTCAGGAGTGGCCAATTGAGTAAACTGTTTGCTTATAGCTGCCACTTTGTCAAATGGTAAATGGCCTGTACATGATATAGCACCTAGAGTCCTGGAACCCCTCAAGGTGCTTTACAACACAATCAGCCATTCACCAATTCACACACACGTTCACACACTGGTGAGGATGAGCTACAATGTAGCCACAGCTGCCCTGGGGCGCAATGACAGGCGAGGCTCCCGAGCACTGGCGCCACCGGTCCCTCCGACCACCACCAGCAGGCAACGTGGGTTAAGTGTCTTGCCCAAGGACACAACGACATGTGCTCCTGTGTTCCATGTGCTCTTGTGCTCCTGTGTTCCATGTGCTCCATGGGCTCCATGTGCTCCCGAGTTCCATGTGCTTCTGTGTTCCATGTGCTTGTGTGTTCCATGTGCTCCTGTGTTCCATATACTCGTGTGTTCCATGTGCTCCTGTGTTCCTTGTGCTCATGTGTTCCATGTGCTCCTGTGTTCCATGTGTTCCATGGGCTCTATGTGCTCCTGTGTTCCACGTGCTCCCGAGTTCCATGTGCTCTTGTGTTCCATGTGCTCTTGTGTTCCATGTGCTCCTGTGTTCCATGTGCTCCTGTGTTCCATGCGCTCGTGTGTTCCATGTGCTCCTGTGTTCCATGTGCTCCTGTGTTCCATGTGCTCATGTGTTTCATGTGCTCCTGTGTTCCATATACTCGTGTGTTCCATGTGCTCGTGTGTTCCATGTGCTCCTGTGTTCCATGTGCTCGTGTGTTCCATGTGTTCCTTGTTCTCGTGTGTTCCATGTGCTCCTGTGTTCCATGTGCTCTTGTGTTCCATGTGCTCTTGTGTTCCATGTGCTCCATGTGCTCCTGTGTTCCATGTGCTCTTGTGTTCCATGTGCTCCTGTGTTCTTGTGTTCCATGTGCTCCTGTGTTCCATTAGCTCCATGTGCTGCATGTGCTCTTGTGTTCCATGTGCTCCATGTTCTGCGTGTGCTCCTGTGTTCCATGTGCTCTTGTGTTCCATGTGCTCTTGTGTTCCATGTGCTCCTGTGTTCCATGTGCTCCATATGCTCCATGTGCTGCATGTTCTCTTGTGTTCTCGTGATCTTGTGTTCCTTGTGCTCCTGTGTTCCATGTCCTCCTGTGTTCCATGTGCTGCATGTTCTCTTGTGTTCATGTGATCTTGTGTTCCTTGTGCTCCTGTGTTCCATTTGCTCCTTTGTTCCATGTGCTTGTGTGTTCCATGTTTTCTTGTGTTCTTGTGCTCTTGTGCTACATGTGCTCCAGTGTTCTTGTGGTCTTGTGTTCCATATGCTAAATGTGTTCTTGCGTTCCATGTGCTCCATGAACACAGGCAACACATGGAACACAAGAACAAACGAGCACATGGAACACAAGAGCACATGGAACACACGAGCACATGGAACACAAGAGCACATGGAACACACGAGCACATGGAACACACGAGCACATGGAACACACAAGCACATGGAACACAAGAGCAGAAGAACAGAGGAGCACATAGAACACAGGAGCACATGGAACACACAAGCACATGGAACACACAAGCACATGGAACACAGGAGCACATGGAACACACGAGCACATGGAACACAAGAGCAGAAGAACAGAGGAGCACATAGAACACAGGAGCACATGGAACACACAAGCACATGGAACACAGGAGCAGAAGAACAGAGGAGCACATAGAACACAGGAGCACATGGAATACACGAGCACATGGAACACACAAGCACATGGAACACAGGAGCACATGGAACACACGAGCACATGGAACACAAGAGCAGAAGAACAGAGGAGCACATAGAACACAGGAGCACATGGAACACAGGAGCACATGGAACACAGGAGCACATGGAACACAGGAGCACATGGAACACACGAGCACATGGAACACAGGAGAACATGGAACACAGGAGCACATGGAACACAGGAGAACATGGAACACAGGAGAACAAGAACAGAGGAGCACATGGAACACAAGAGCACATGGAACACAGGAGAACAAGAACAGAGGAGCACATGGAACTCAAGAGCACATGAAACACAAGAGCACATGGAACACGGGAGCACAAGAACAGCGGAGCACATGGAACACAGGAGCACAAGAAAAGAGGAGCAGAAGAACAGAGGAGCACATGGAACACAGGAGCACATGGAACACAGGAGCACATGGAACACGGGAGCACATGGAACACGGGAGCACAAGAACAGAGGAGCACATGGAACACAGGAGCACAAGAACAGAGGAGCACATGGAACACAGGAGCACATGGAACACGGGAGCACAAGAACAGAGGAGCACATGGAACACGGGAGCACATGGAACACAGGAGCACATGGAACACGGGAGCACAAGAACAGAGGAGCACATGGAACACATGAGCAGAAGAACAGAGGAGCACATGGAACACAAGAGCACATGGAACACAGGAGCACAAGAACAGAGGAGCACATGGAACTCAAGAGCACATGAAACACAAGAGCACATGGAACACGGGAGCACAAGAACAGAGGAGCACATGGAACACAGGAGCACAAGAACAGAGGAGCACATGGAACACAGGAGAACAAGAACAGAGGAGCACATGGAACACATGAGCAGAAGAACAGAGGAGCACATGGAACACAAGAGCACATGGAACACAGGAGCACAAGAACAGAGGAGCACATGGAACTCAAGAGCACATG